ATGACGTCATCCGCGTGCCGGACTACTGACATACATCCTGTCCGCTGAAATGCTGCTAGTTTTCCTCACATGCCTGGAAGATGTCTAGTGCTGCTACCACAGATGATCTCGCTCTCTAAATGGAACGATTCAGATTAGCTAGAATGAATAGAAGGGGTAGAACGTAGCCATAAAAGAGAGACTTTAATGGATTTCTTCAGTAAAGTTAGCAAAATACACAAACTTTACTTCAAAGAGTTCTAATCCAAGTTTAAAAAGAGGATTTAGAACAGTAACAGTTTTTGAAACAGAGTTGGTCTGGCTTGGTCTAGATAAAACAGTAGTAAGTGACAGAGCCCTTTACCACTCCCTGAAGACCAGTTTTGATTTCAATTTCAATTACATTTCAATTCAGTTTATTTATATAGCGCCATTTATTTATAAAACACCAGTTGACTTTCATTTTTCAGTGTCATAAATCATCTATCTATCTGGGGGGATAACTCCTGTAATAAAGAAGAGCTCAGTGCTGAGGATTTAAATCAGCAACTCTGTTATACACTTTATCATATTTATCACATTCACATTGAGTTTATGCTGTTTTCGTTTTGCTTTGGGTTTTCTTTTCTTACTGAATGAATATGGATACCTGTATGCCTGTATATGTATGTGTTATGAATATAAAAATTGGTTAAATCAAAACATTTTGGTCTTGATTATTTCATAGAACCATGTCACATCTGAACCTTTTCAGATCTGGTATAGACACAGATTAGGAACACACTATTTGGGGGTGGGGGGTGGTAAAGAGATAAAATTTATAATATGAGAAAATAAAGTCCTAGGGCAGTAAAGTAAAAAAAAAAAAAAGACAAAAGTGTCAATATTGTGAGAAAAACGTTTTTATTCTTTTTGAAAATAAAGTCAGGAGAATGAGGCCAAAGTGATCCGAAAATAAACGTAATATTACAAAAAAAAAAAAAAAATTAGGAATATAAAGTATATTTTGAGGTCCTTCTGATACTTTTTAAGTGGCTGAGTAACAGCAGATTTGCCACATTCAACATGGCGGATGCTCTGATTCATCCGCAGCATAGGCAGAGCCCATCCAACAAGGCGTCTATGTATATAATGTCTATAGCAAAGACAGCGCATGTAATGGAAACCAAACGACATGAAGGTAAAGAGGCAGGATTTTAGAGAGGCATGTTAAGCTTCACTATCATTATTACAAATAAACACACACACACAAAAAACAACAAAAATATTCAAAGGCAAACATTGAAATATGAAACCGGAATTATCTTAGTTTTGTGCTCTGGGACCAGGTTTTAAAAAAATTATAATATAAACTCTTCCGAAACTTCAACTCCGTTTGGATGTGCAGCTTAAATGACTCAATGCCTTAGTAGTTTCCCCTCATTCTATCTCTGTGCTAATGGGGCCTAAACTATGCAGATTTCTGGACTGCAGTTGTTAAAGAGAGGAGTTTGGGGCATGCATGGGGACAAGGGATAAGAAGAAACACCCATAAAGCCTGTATGACCGGTGGATATACAAAGTATGGTAATCAAAAAGATGCACAAACCAGCTTCATGTGAAAAGGATTTCTGATTCAACATATCCCTTTTTGTCTAAAATACAGATTTGTCTGTTGTTGCCACATTTTGAACACATCTGCACTCATGCACACTTACAGGTCCATTATTCGGTCTCTCACTCCTGAATAAATATCCGCTGTCTTCCACCTGCAGAGACAAATACGCAATAGGAAACTTTTACTGCTCTGCAGTAACCAAGCAACGGTCGGACAAGTGACTCAGGAAACGAAGACAGGAGCTGACTCACAGCAGCTGTGACGTAAAGGGATGTAAAAGGGCACAACAACACACGCGTATACACAAACACACACGTTAAGTCTTGCTATCCTTACAAGGACTTTGCATTGACTTCCATTCATTTCTATGGCCTTACCAAGACCTTTACTCCAACTCTAATAAGAAGATACCCAATGTTAAACTTAGCCCTAACTCCATTCAGTCTTCAGTACTAAAACTAACCCCCCATCGCAACAGGAGACCTTTCCTCATAGGGGCCAGTCGACTGGTCCCCAAATGTACCCATAAGTCCCCACAAAATAGCATGTTCCTGGGAAATTCCCCACGAGGTAACAAATACATGGTCACACACACACATAGAGGAGGCTGTGATGCAGAAATCTGCCCTGTTTGGGGAAATTAACACCTCGTTGTGTAACATGTTGAGAGGCTTGAAAGAAAGGTGGATAATGAGACTTTTCCAAAAAGCCAGTCCATAAAGAGACACACCATTTTTTATGCTTTAAATTGTAAAAGACACACCTCAAATCTTCAGTGTCCTCATGCAGAAATATAGCCATACTTCACATGAAATCACCTTCACCTAAATATTTATCCTCTGCATTTTCTGTTTGCATGCAGCTTCATATTGTCTTCTAAAATCTCCAGTGCAGCTTCTATCCTTCTATCACTTACTGAAATGCTACTTCATGACCTTGCATAAACATGCTGCAGCAAACTCTTTCCGCATCGAAAAGATGAAACTGCAAGTTTCATCTTTTCGATGCAATGATGTCCTACCTACGATGCAATGATGTCCTACCTTGCATTCCTTAAGGCTTAGTATCCCTCCTGGTTGTGCAGGATTTTTTAAAAATCACCAGATTTTCTAAAGGACATGAGTGAAAAGAGACAGAGAGATGTGCTGGAAAATGAAAAGAAGGAGGGAGAATAAGCTGCAGGAGGAGGGAATGAAAAGTAGAGACGAAGGACAAAGAGCTTACATATCCAGCTCTATGCCAGGAGGTTTCTGGCCTTCCTCCAGCAGTTAACCGGATGTAATCAATAACAGCACTTTGTATCACAATGTCCACAGTGTTACACTGTATACTGTATACTGTGCTCAGCTTCCTCAACATTTTTCAATTTTTGTCCTATTGGCAACAAAGGAAAATTGTCTATAGTTTAAAAGACCCTATCACCTTATTTCTAAGTGGAAACAATATAATACATAGTATTCAGCTTTTTTTTTTTTTCTTGTAGCTTCCTTGCTCCTGCTGCCACCACTGTATTAC